TTAATGTTGTTAATCTATCGTTAGATGAGCCAGAGTTGAAGAGTGTTATTTTTAATGATAATGAAGAAAACTGATGTTTATGATGCTAAAGAAAATGAATTTGGTATAATTAAGGATTAAGATTAAATATTTTAATATTTTACTTTATTTTTATTATTATGATTCTGTTTTGATATTTTTTTTATATTAATGAAATTATTTTAAATTTTATAACACGTATCCACATATGACATATCCTAATTTTTTTTTTAAAAAGCTGTATCAACGTATTCGTATCGTATTGTATTCGAATTACGTAACCGTGCTTCTTAACAGTCACCCATTCAAAAGAAAAAGTTATATTTGCAATTATGTATTTAAACAATCCAACTTTTCTTGAAAAGCCTTTATCATATTACACTAATTAAGTAATTATACCTTGTGAAAGGAAATGGTTGGCCTTGTCCATTAAGGTCTTAGCTTTTAAACTACATTATTGACAGGTTTTTGCGGTTGGACATTTTATCTCTTCTTCTTTCTTTGGCTAATGTCAGTGCATACTCAGAGGTACCTCTGGTGGATATGCTTGATTATATCATTACTGGTGATGTGACAGAATGCTTGGGAGGTAACTACTTTCTTTATGTCAGAGAAAATTTTGATCCTTGAAAATCTCAGTTGAACTTTCATATTTTTCTGATGAAACCAGTGGGTCTTGAAGACAAATATGTGAAATTTTATGCAAGGGTCAGAAGTACTGAACTACTTATGTAAGCAACACATTGTTGATTATATGACTTTTGAGTTCCGATATAAACATGTGCTGCAGTTGTTGCCACCAACTGGAATATTTGGAGGACATATCTGAATAATCAAGTTAACATAATATATTATTAGTTTAAAGTTTAATACCTGCTGTGAAGACGAATGAGACAAGCGATATATTCCAAGGGTTTTTTATTGAAAAATATGTTGAAAGTTTCGTATATACTATTAATTTTGTGAAACACAACTTGTCATTGTCATGTTCTGTGGTAGAAGGTACTGGTTATGTATGCAACACATATCATGGAGTCACACCATATCCCATTAATATTGTGCGGATCTTCAATTTCAATTATGACATATGCCAAAGGTACATTTTCTTGTAGCCTGGAAAATCAATTCCATTTGTTTTATTTCTGATTCATGTGATGCTATTTTTGTTTAGGTTTCAGTTGAAAATAGTGACATTTAATATTTCCTGAGTCTAGGATTGTGCACTCCTGTAGCTGATGAAACTTCACCATCAAATGATCAGCTTCAAGATGCCAGTAATATAAGAAGACAAACAAATGTGGGCGGCTGTTTTGCATTCTATTTTATTACCTTTTATCTGTTAAGTTCGCCGTGATGAATTTTTTTTTATGTACAGAAACAAATCTCATCTCCTTCAGCTCAAAATGCTGTCAGCATGGAAGAAAATGAAGATGAGAATATGGAAATCATGGCTGATGTTGCTGCTCCTCCAAAAGTCAACAAAGGTATGAAGGCTGGTCGAAAAGCTCCAGTTGAGGCCATTAAGTTATGGAAGAAGAATGGATTTTCGAGGTTGACTGCAGTTCTCAAATAATTTAGCTGGGCACTCACTTTATGATCCTAAGGTTCTGAGTTCTATGCTTTCCCCCTTTTTGGTGCGTTTTATGTTTTCAGTTTGATAATTGCATCTCCAAACCTGGATCCTTGGGGTATTATAAAAGATGTCCTTCCACTTCTATCCTATTCTGCATCATTTGCTGTTTACCATCAGTATCTTCAGGTAATTGCTTTAGTAGGTTTGTAATGTGCATTGTCAACTGATATATATAATATATGTGCTCTGTTACTTACACTCCAGCAATTTTTCTTAAAATGTAAGCATAGAAGATTGTTTGAATGGGATGACTAAAAATATTTTTTCATGTCTGAGACCTATGCGTGCTTATTCGAATCTAATTCCTTGATGAGGATTGTTTCTCCCTTCCATATTTGTTGTAGGCAACAGATAAGTAAATGGGGTGGCATGCCATGTATGAGCTCTATGATCATTTACTGCTATAAACATTTAAGCTTATAAGGGGATAGTGCTGAAAAGAGATGTCTCTTTGGTTGAGAGTTGTTTGACTTTGTCTTCTGTGTCAAAAAAATTATTATCTTTGTGATCTATTCTTTGTCAACCATGAATTAAGTTGTGCTCTGCAAGCATCTCTCTTCTAATTTCTTGTTATTGTTATTGTTGACCTCGCAAATTGGACTCTCCACGTGGCCAACCGATAGCTACTCCACGTATTCCTCCCTGCGCACAATCAATGCACGATCAGATGCACACGGCCAGGACCAATGGAGATGGTGGCGGCCGCATACACTCCGACGGTCAAGTTAGCCTCAGGTGGTCGGAACAATACTAAAGTTGTGCTAAATAAAGGGGAGGAGAATATGTATTTGCTTATTATGGAAAGCTATGTTGTAAGAGTTTCATTACCTTTGCCTCTTACCAAACTTTGGGTATTTATAGGTAAGGAGATCCGTTGGATGTGGGACACGTGTATGCATCTGACGGTGTGAGGCGTGTACTCATAGGCGTCAATCAGTCGCGTCTATAGAGTGGGTGGGTAATTACTTCTCCCGAGTTGAGTTGACATAAAGTTGATACGTCACATCAACTAGGCTCATAGAGACGTCAAATCAATTGAATCTTGGGGGCAGAAAGGAACTTGACATAGATCTCTTTTTGAAATTGGCGACGAATCCTCTAGCGCTTCGGCTTGAACAGCGCTCCAGCTTCAAAGGTGAGGGCGCCTCGGTCAGTTTGGTAGATTGTCCGTGTCTTGAGGTGTATTAGCAGATGGTGGCTCCACTTCGGAACCACTTCGAATGGATGTCGCACACCTCGTACGACGTGGTTGTGAAATTTTCGAAGTGTTTCAGATGGGGGCGTAACAGTTATTAATACTGAAGCTTGGTGTTACGTAACTATGGAAACATTGAAACATGATTTTATTTATTTTTTCATTTATTATTATTATTATTATTTTTTTGGGTGTTCTCTTATTTCTTTGATGAACATAAGTAAACATCTACTTTTCCTGATTATGGGAGTTCTTTTTGATCATCAGCGAGGAAAAGAAAAGGTAATATTACCTATTATTAACTTTATTCTGATGAATTACGTTAAAGTTTTGCTAGTGCTGAAAATTAATAGGTTCTCTAATGCCTGTATTGCTGTATTTGTGTGCTGAAATACCTGTTGATAAACTTTGGCATGTAGTATGTACAGACGAGAGGAATTGGTTACTGGTTCTCATTTTGCAGGTTTTTTATGGGTGTATGTATGATTTGTGTAAGAGGTGCAGGGCTAAGACTTCAGAAAATACAGGCAACAGGATTGATCTAACTCTGTTTTCTTGGAGCCTCTAGCCTCATGCATGCACAATCTACAGGCCGAGAAAATGGCCATTGGCTTGCAAATTTCTGAGCCTTGGCTTCGTGAATATCAGGTTAGTTAATTGTTCCATGTATTCAATTATAAAAAAATTATTAAACAGCATGCAAGGACCCATCACATTTTATGACTGTCATCATCGAATCACACAAAACCTGGAGAAAGAAAGACGGTTTTTTCTTCATCTTTTTTTAATGTATGTGTTGGGGGTAGGGATGGACTGGGGGTAGGGATGGACAAACTTGTCACTATGTGCATGTGGGAAACATTATAATTTAAAGGTCAAAGACAAACATTAATTTTAATCACATAGTCTACACATTCTGTAGTATCCATAACTACTGTACACTTATCAACGACACATTTATATAAAGTCATAACCACTCATTTCTATGTAGTTATAAATTCAGCATTTTATCTATGCCTGTATTTACTTCAGCTGCATTCCTGCTCTCCCTTATCATGATGACAACAAACTCCTTTATCCCTTTCCCAGATTTCATTGAAGCTCATCGAACTTCTATGTCAGATTTGGTTCATCTTGTGCCTATTAAAATTCACTTTATACCATTGTAATTGTGTTGAAGAGTTTTCATTGTCATGTCAAGTTTCCTTTCTGAAAAACACTTGGGTTCTTCCATCAAGAACTCACCCACACATGCAGATGAGTGCAACCGGTGGCTATATACTGAGTGACACTCGGATAAGCGGCAGTAATCAGACCCAAACAAATTTTGGTTCACTGAGTTTTGAACGGAGGGAATCCTAAGCACCCCTGTAAAAATAGTGTATATAAATTTGTATATATAATTTGTAAAAAATTTTAACAGGTACCATTTGAACTTCTTTTAACTGTGTTAACATTTTATTATTATTATTATTATTTTTTTTTGGGACGTTAATTTATTCTTTATATATTGCAAGTGCAGTTTCATGTTTCATTACAGACGCATTGCTGATGTTATAAATGTATTGGAAAATTTGACTTTCTTCTCCAACCTTAGCAATATGTTACTAATCTCTCAATATTTTAGCAGCGGTCTCAAATTAATTTGTCATCGTATCTAAATAATTAAAAAAAAAAAATGAAGCAACTAAATAAAATAATAAAGAGAAAATGACAACAAAAGTCCCAATATTTATATAAAAAAAAAATTAACTAAAACAATTAAAAGTAACTGACAAAAATTAAAAAGAAAATAATTTGGAAAAACAGGCCTCCTCGCAAAAAACCAACCGAGTCCACCTACGGCCGACCCTGCTGTCAATAAAATAAGCAATTTATTTTAATTTAATCAAAATAACTCCTACTTTTAAGTTAAAGATTTGCTCATTTTAAAATAACTCCTACATTATTTTCAATATAAATAACTTATTTTTAATTTAATCAACAAAATAACAAATTATTTTAAAACTGACTCAGTCACTCTTACGCCTTAGCCAAACGCCCTCCAGGCCATCCCAGGAAACACCTTTTGAAAAAATAAAATAAATTTTGAAGTAAATAAATGTTCTAACGGCTATATTTACCAAAAACCTATAAAAGTAGAAATACAAGTCAAAAGCACAATTATAAAAGAATTGGGAATTATTTAAAATATATGGTTTTCCAATGTCATCATAAACTGAAAACAACACATTAGCATCAACGATCCAGCAAATCTGCCTAAATATGTTTGTGGACCCCAATTAACGAGTGCGTGTTTTTCTTAATCTTGCTCCCGTGGCTCGTTTGGATTCTTCTTTGATGGTCTCTTGTGGAGGAGATTGAACGTTTTCACTTGCTGAAGGAGGCATTGAAGTAATTAGCATCACTTTCTCCTCGCTAGCATTCAAACTTTTGCTTGTCTTGAAAAGGGTCTGCGTAGATGTTTTTGGTCCGTCCAAGGATGTAGTAAGAGGAGGAGTTTCTCTGAAAGCTTGTGTAGATGTTGTTTTTGGTCCGTTCAAGGATGTAGTCAGGGGAGCTCCTTTGGAAGCTGCTAAAGGCCCTGCCTCTTCGGCCACGTCTTCTTGGAGCTGACTTGAAGATGTACTAGAAGTAGGAGACGGAGGTTCGTTATTCTGCTGCTGTTCTTTAGCAGCTGATTTGAGATTTGGTGTTGTTGGGTGCTGTGACTTAGCATCTTGCTGTTGTGTCTGTGAGGTCAAAAACAGCAGTATTTCGATTATAAAAGCAAACTTCCAATAGCTATCAACTGGGGTGTGAGTGAAGTCTGAAAGATTCAGTAAGAGGAAAATGATTTTGGAAAAATAAAAGGAAAAAGAAAAACGACTTGAGACCTAAAAGCAACGAATAAGGGACATGGATTATCCAAGCTTAACGAATGTAATTATTATTGGAGTTAAAAACATCCACATTTGCTTCACTTGGTGCCACTATTATGGTGAAACATCATCAAGATTAAGCGTAACAAGCAAAGATATACTATCACTGGCAAGATGTCATGGGATGAGTAAGTAATGTTACAAGTGATTCAAATGGAAATTATTCACATTGTACATGCTATTTAATTACAAGTTCAACAAAATGAGCATGGCAAAAGGGTTATCTCAAAAGAAAACAATTTTCACAGAGACCACTTCGTCTTATCAACCCTTCCCAACTAATATAATAGAGAACTGGAGCAGAGTATGGAAGTTAGGCACATTCTACTTTAAAAGATAAAACATAAATGGATACCGCAATTCATGATTCTAAACAATTCTCAAGAGTTAAACACATACTGTGTATGTTACCCCACAATGGGTTCAACACAGAGAGAGATCTCAGAGCTAAAGAGTCATTATCGTGCAAAGCTGCAATAGATTTTGGGTGCGTTTGCAAATACTATATAGGATTGAGGTAGATAGGAATAAGGTGATACTATGCAGCGTCCAGCAACATCAAACATAAAGTTAAGATGATAGTATGCTTCAAACCAAAATATTTCTAGTACGTACCTGAGAAGGCCGAGGGGTGGATTGTGAAGCAACATATTGAAAAATCTCAAATATTCTACTCTGACCGTAGCTTGCAGCCTTTTGCCAGTACAAAAATGCAATATCTCCAGCTCTTGTCCGCAGTTCGAACAAATTGCGGTCTATTTCTGTCTCGTGCTTAGCCACGTATGGTCTAAAGAAGGAGTCATAAACATATCTTGTTCCCTGAAATACATGGAAGTAAAAGAGAGATTACAGTTATAATAGGTAAGGACCAAACTATCTAAAACTCGATACTCATGCATGAAGAGGATCACAGACCTTTGTTTTAGGGTACCACAAGTATATAAAGAAGGCCAACTTAGCTTCACTGTACATTGGAACCCTTCACAGGCAAATAAACAACAAAAAAACTTTATTCGCAAATCGAGCATAAATAAAACTTGGAAGATTTTTATATCTTCTACTTTAAATATTTACCATCCAATAAACATGTCACCAATCCTCTCACAAACTGTCAACCCAGCAGCCAAGATCCTAAAAATTCAAGATCTTACTTGTTACTACTAAACTTGCAACTAAAGCTGTTGAAGGCACAAATGCAAATGAGTAAGTTACCAATACTGGCACCAAAACCGAAGTTGCTCGATGTCAGGCTTGTTCATTTCCACAGTTTTAAAGCATTCGTAAGCAGGATAAGCATAACCCAAAACCAACCTACAACATCAAATGCAGAATATATGAATCCTCCGATGGAATGAAAAGAATCATAATTTTTAATCTGCACGAACTGAAGGTAGCACATACACAAGTCCTCTGGTTATAAAACACCCAATCATCTTGACTCCCTGTATCAGAAAAATAAATCAATCATTAGGTCAGGTTATGTACTAACAAAATCACCACTTTTTATTTTGTTTTCATTCTCCTGGAGAGTGCCTGTTAAATTCTGTTGCATAGCCGAGAAAAATGATAAATGATAAACAAAAATTTACTACGTATGCCACCCAGTTTTTGAATGATATTTTATTGCTTGATTGTGGTCACTCATTGCCTAAATACATTCCAACAATTATCTTCTCGCCTTAAGCTCCCCTGCCCTAAAAAATACAAATATTCCCCAACTGCATTGATCCGGATTAGGATTATCTGACTACAAATAAGAAAGAAAAAGAAATAGTAAAAAAAATAAAATCCATACATCCATAAATACATTACAATTGTTCGAAGAAGGGGAAAACGGGATGTAAATTGAAAAAACACTCCAGGATAGAATTACGATTGTCATATAAGTGCAATGCACTATTATTCATCTCAGCCTGTATACTAAACGCAATAAGAAAACATAAAAAGCCACCAGCATTTCTTATGATAAAACAATCTAATTACGATATCTTATTAAGTTCCTATCTAACACAAATGCACGCACATATTGAAATTCTTAATATTAAAACTTCAAATATTTTAATATTTTGAGCGAGTAAAAAAAAAAAATGAAGCGTCGGTGCGTCACCTATGCAACAACGATGGTAATATAAGAAATAGGAAATGACTTCTGAAAGCATCAAGATTTTTCGGTGTATGAACAATCGGCGCCGCGGTTGCGACGGCGAACCGTTAATGCGTCGGCGGAGATAAGAGTAAGTAGGGGTGAAGAGAGAAGGAACAGCGGGGGGACCAAGTTAAGTTTTGAATTTTTAACTTCTAGATTTTTAATTCTCAAATTATAGAGGCGGGGAACGTTTCTCTGTAGAAGGTGCACGATTTTACTGTAAGCCTCTATACTTGTGACCGTTAGAAAATAATTTTGCTCCTTTATTTTGATTAAAATTTAAACGGTCACATGGGAGCGTAAATTATGAAAAATGTCACTTCCAAATAAATTGCCAAAGAATAAATGGCCATTTTGTTACCTACGATGTCCATTTCACCCTATTTTAATTGTTCATTGGACCACAATTCATGGTACAATGTATCAAAAATACTTCCTTTTTTTTTTTTTCGTTAAGCCACTTCTCGCCACATAGGATTTTGACACTGCTTTTGGCAAAATAGCATTATTCTCTCTTATAATTTTCTTTTGCATATTTCAAGATTTCAACTCTCGACATTTTCTTTAAGAGAGATTTATGTTCGGCCATAGTATCAATTTGACTTCTTGTTAATTTGCAAATCCTGCCTTTGTCGAGCTTAAAAGGAAACGATGATCCTAATCAAGAGCTTGGTCCGTGTGCATGTGTTGGTCCTACTTACATTTTACAAGCATAATAAATGATTAATTTATTAAAATATATTTGTATGATTTTATATTTACATGATTATTTTATGTACGCTTGCTGAGTTGTAGTTCAAATCCAATAATTTCGACTGAATTTATTTTTTAACCACAAAACTAGTATATTAAAAAAGAGTTTTTTTTCCCTTTTTTTTAGGGGGGGAATAGTTTTGAAATAGTTATTTTTTAGAAAATGTGTAATTAAGAAGTAAGAAAATGTTTTGAGTTTATATGTAAAATATTTTATTGTGTGATTGTGTTATTAAAAGTTAGTTAAAAAAAAAAAAAAAAAAAAAGGGAAGCTTTGATTTAATGGATGAAAAATAGAGGTTGAAGTACAAATTTTTTGCATCATACATAGTACAAAACACATTTTAGGCACCATTATAATTAGAAATTTGGGTAAAAATGTATTTCGGAATAATATTTTTCGGGAGAATGCGTGGTTTGAAAAAAATGATTTTTTTTTATTTAAATGTAATATTATTTTAATGAAAAATGTGTGATTAAAAAGGAGAGATAAAAAAATATATTAAAATTTCAAAGGAACTGAACAAATTCTTAACTTGCATTACCATTAATACCCTAAGCCTTGGATTCTACTTTTCCTAAAGCTGAGAATAAGGACCTGTCTCTAAGGTTATACACCAAAGATTGAGGTCACATGGCATGTAATAATGCTATTTTGTTGGGCTGTCTCTGTGGTGCCCAATTCAAACCGCAAAAACTCTCACTTGATGAGACATCAAATCATGTCCTTAATTAATTGCTCCTTTTCGAAGTATTTTTATATATTTTATGAAATTGGCAATTTTTAACAACAATTTAATCAAATCTTTATGAAATTTTATAAAAATCTACTAACAATATAATTTTTAGCTAAGTCAAACAAAAGCATAATTCACTTAAAAAAAATACACTGTTGTTCTAACGAATGCTATTAAACTAGTTTTACTATGTGAACAAAATTTTGCTCCAATAGCGAAATTTTATTGGCTTTGTAGCTATAAGAAATAAAGTTTTGTGGGATATTATAAGATTTTTAAAGCATAAGAATAAGATATTATTTGCCAAAAAAATCATAGCAAGTTTTCTTGTTTATTAATTTTTACATTGCATGTTTTAACGAAATATATTAATGTTAAAAGTAGAAAAAAAAACAGGTCTTTAAGTTTGAACTTGCGCAGGAGAATGCCAATTAGATTCTAGGTGTCATGATTGGGGCGTATAGGCACCTAAATCCCACATCGGAAGTATGGGCTTCCTGTTAGGTTTTTTGACTCAAATATGGTTAGGAGTTTTGTGAAATGGTGCATTTGATTTTTACTTGGAAAGGAATATTGTATCCAAGTTGAATAAGGAAAGGAAATCTTCTCTCGGTTGAAATTCTATGCGCAATCGTAACCCAATTTTAATAGATTTTCTTACCTTTTAGGCTTTTCTATTAATTTTGTTTAAGCATTATTGTCGTATCTGTAATTTCTCTCTATATTGTCAGTTGATATACATTGTTCCTGTGCATTGACACTCTTTGTTCTTATTTACTTTTAATCTTGTTTCTTATTGTGATTTTTATTACTACATATTGTGTCAATAATCTCATTCATTACAATCCATCCGGATCCAACAAGTGGTATCAAAGTTTGGTTCTTCTTATGTGCATTGGTTGAGGTTTTTTCAAAGATGACTACCATGAAGTATGATATTCTGCTACTAAATCGCAATACAATGTTTTCTCTGTGACAAGTAAAGATGAAAGCTATTTTAGCACATTTAGATTTGGACGATGTGTTGCTGGGTTTTGAGAAGATGCCAGTTAATTGGACAATGGAAGAGAAACAATGGAGGGATCGAAAGGCTTTATCGCGGATCCATCTTCATTTATTAAAAAATATTTTACATGATGTCTTGAAGGAGAAAACAGCGACAGCTCTGTGGTTGAAACTAGAGTAGTTATGCATGATTAAAAGTCTCACGAGCAAACTGGCTCTGAAGCAAGAACTGTATTCCCATTGCATGGCCGAATGAGAGTCACTGGAGGACCATATTTCTGTGTTCAAGGAAATAGTTGCAGATCTGAAGATGTTGGAGGTTAAGTACGATGAATAGGATCTGGCTTTGATCCTGTTGTTTTCGCTGCCTTGCTATTATGCGTCGTTTCGGGACACCATTTTGTATAGTTGGAATACTTTGACTATAGACGACGCCTATGATACTTTGCACTCAAAGGAAAAGTTGAAGTATTTGGTTGGAGCTACATTGAGGAATAAGGAAGCTCTTGTATCTCATGATGATCGATAGAGGGAAAGAAGAATAACAACAATTTGTTTTGCTTCTACTATAGACATAGGGGACATATTCTAAAGAATTGCGATAAGTTGCAAGCTAAAGGTGATTTAGCTGCAAATCATAGAGCGAAACCTTTGATTTATGATGAAACAAATGTAGTTGAGGATTTTTTAGACGTCGGAGATGTGATGTTGACCGTGGTGTCTGACGTGAAATCTAGGCCTGATGAGGAGTGGATTCTCGATTCGACATGTTCGCATCATATGTATTCCAATCGAAATTTCTTTCAGACATATGAGGTTGTTCAGCAAGGTGGGGTTGTAATGGGAAACAACCAGTCATGTCATATTACTGGGATCGGTCGAGTCATATTTAGGCTACGGGATGGGACATTCAGAATAATTGATCAGGTTCGACATATTTCAGACCTGAAAATGAATCTCATCTCGCTTAGTATTCTGGATGTAAAAGGATATAAATTCTCTGGTAGAGGTAGAGTCTTGAAGGTCCGAAAGGATGTCCGTGTTATACTAGAGAGACGGAGAAGGTCTCAATTGTACATCTTATAGGGGAGTGTAAAACCAATTAAGAGACTTCTGGACAAGTTCTGTACCGTGTTGAATATTCAGTTTGGTATAGTATCTCTTGTGACGGGCTCTGAGTCGGTTCAGAACATTGCTCGAAAGAGCATTGGTGATTTTGCTTTGCTACCAATTTCAGTTGTTATGGTTGGATCCATTGAACGTAGGTACCATGGTCTCAGTGATTCCTGTAATGCTTTTGGGGATGTTGAAGGTGACAATTCCGGCAAAGGGCTTTCTATTTAAGCATGTTCTATGGTTTCTGCTACATGATGTGCTTCAACCCTATTTGGTAAACATTAATTCCTTGATAAAATTTTGAGAACCCGAGAGTATGGTTCAGGTATCACTTGTAGACGTCATGCAAACGACGATAGTTTATATGGAGAGTTTTGGTTACTGCATTAAAAAGAGTGATCATTTCATTTCAATGCAAACATGTTTATTTCTCAAGTAGAGAAATTTTGTGGAGCTCCGCTCGTTGTACTGAAATTTAAGTCAAGGTGGAGATTGTTGGGTTTTGTGACTCAAATATGGTTATGAGTCTTGGAGATTGCATATTTGATTTTTACTTGGAAAGGTATCCAAGTTGAATAAGGAAATGAAATCTTCTCTTGATCGAAATTCAATGCACAATTGTCACATAATTTTAACAGATTTTCTTACATTTTAGGACTTTTCTAGGGTTTAGAATGTGGCCTATAAATACAAGGCTCATCTATCAATTTTGTTTAAGTATTATTGTTGTGTCTGTAATTTCTCTCCATATTGTCAGTTAATACACATCGTTCCTCTATGATTAACTCTCTTTGTTCTTTACTTTTAATCTTATTTCTTGTTGAGATCTTTATTACTGCATATTGTGTCGATAATCTCATTCATTACAATCCCTCCGGGTCCAACATTTCCTTTGTGTGGTTTATATAGACTTGGATTCTCCAACCTCAATGATTAGCTTTTGGAGTCTAGCTCTTCCAAGTTCTATGACAATGGTATCAGAGCAAGTACCACGTCTTTTGGTCTCGGTTACCACTTATGGTGTATGGGCACTTGCTTGACGTGGACTCCGAGCCGAAAGCGTAGTGGTATATCACGGTTCCCATTGAGGTTATGGGCACATAAATCCCACATTGAAAGTATGGACTTCCTTTGCGTGGTTTATATAGGCTTAGGTTCTTCAATTTCAATGGTTAACTTTTGGGGTCTGGCCATCAAAATTTTATTACACTAGGGTTTAAGGCTATTGTTTTCCTCCGATGTTGAAGTATGCCATTTCCTCCCCAAAGGCCAAGTTCGGTACTTTTGTCCTCCATAGGACAACCACCAGTCCATCTTCAACTCTCCTAGAAAAATTTCTTAGCTCAATTGTTAAGTCTTCCTTTAGGGAATTTCAGAGTGGGTTTTGTTGCTTAATTGCAAAAAATTATCAAAACGACAAGGTTAGTCCTTAATTCATTTTGTTTTCTTGACTTTTTTTTTTTCCAATTTCTTGTAAGATGCATGTGCATTTTTTATTCTCCTAATTTTTCCCTAGTTTTAAAAGTTTTGGTATTGTGAGTTTAAATTTTTATATGTTGAGG